CCCCCCCATCGAGACATCCCCAAATAAAAACCACTGTATAAAAAAGAAACCAACAACAAAAAGAAGCCTTCCTCACGACGAAATCATTATATTATATTATTAATGATAATGATAACAAAATGATTCTTAAGTATCTAGAAAAAATATTCCCACCACAATCAACCAACCACACCATCGCCAACCACTATTATACTCCACAATAAAGGTAATTTTGTTTTATTTTTTTTTGTTTCGTTTCATTCATGCCTATTTTCTCTCTCTCTCTCTCTCTCTCTCTCTCTCTCTCTCTCGTCTAGTCTTTCTCCTCATCCACTTCTCTTCCTATTACTGTAATTATTAAACTGAGCATCAAAAGTCTTTTGTTTGATCCTTTTACGTTTTTGCTTTTGGCTTTTGTCTGTTAACAATCACCTTGATTTCAGAGTAATACACAAACCCTGAATTAAGTATGTATTTGGGGCCTGCGGTGATAACTAACAAAAACTAAATCACACTGTTGATGCCACAAAATGAAGCGTTCATTGGGAGATATGTCAATTAGTAATTTCTTCGTTTTTCCTTTTTGATTTTTGAATTGAAAAGTGTTTGAAATCAAGTGGAATCCAAGATTATTGATAATTCAAGCACAAAATTTCCATTAAAAAATTTTCCTTCATCTTGTTGACTTTTCACAAAACTAGAATTTATTTTGAAAATAACAGATGAATTGACGTATATCTTGATTCCACATGATCATTGAAACAATGAAAATTATTCTATAATTTAATGAAACCAATGTTTATGTTGTGAAGGGAGCGTAAAACTGTGTTGGATGGAGAGTTCATTTGTTGGTTCACGACGAGTTGATTCCCCGGAAACCCCCATGAGCTTGGCAACTGACACCGAATGCTGTACAGGATGTAATGCAGTGGGAACCGAATCGTGCAGCTGCATGGACTCGGCAACATCCGGGTTATATCTGGACTTGACACCGACTAGAGACGAACCGAGACACCACAAAGGGGATCACGATCAGCAAACTAGGAGTACAACTTGTCTGTGTCCATCTCCATCACCATCGACTTGTCATTATCACCAACAAAAGCAGCATCGATATACTCAACAACAACGACATCATCGTGGTGAGTTATTACTCGCCTAGTCGATCCACCTCCTTAATTATCATTTTTTTTCTCTCTTTTTTTTCCTTTCCCTTTGGTAATTTTTAAGATTAACGAAATTCAAAGAGAATCAAGAAAGAAAAAAAAAACAAAACTTATAAATTGACTGACAATGGTCGGCACTTTATTGGGCTTGAATGCAAAGGCTATCGTGTAATATTGCACACATGTATAGGAATACTAATTATTAAAACTTTTGTACATAAAGATAATGCGTAATTTTCAATTATCTTACTTCATTATTAAATTGAATGAAATACCACTGTAATCAGCGATAGCCCAGTATTGATGTGCAAACGTTGAATAAATGTTTAATTTTTATGGCGGATTACGTATGCCGTGAAAGACGCTAGCTCAATCACAAGTCAAAGATCAAGGGTAAACGAGTCATTTTTTTTTTTCACAAGCAATGCTAAACTTGTGAATCCACACTGAAACTTCAATTTTTTGCATTGAATAGAATACTCTTGCAGTCTTCACATGAATCAGCAATGATATTGTTTTTGTTGTCAAAGAGAATTGAGAAGCAGAAAAGCTGCACATGTCACTCTTAGTTCATTCCAAAGCTCAAATCATCCAATTTTTACACCGAAAGCAAATTTTAAATTTCCATTCTCACTTGCCAGCTGATTATTTTTTCGCCGTACATAATTTTTACTTATATCTGTTAATTAGTATATTTTTCGATGAAAAAAAATATAATAATCGTCTTTGTATCTGTTTGCCACACCAATGCTTGTGTACTTTTTCGTTGTTCAATATTTGCCTATAATTGTTTACTTGTGAAAGTTTCCCATGATTTTTAAGTTTCATGTATTATTGTTTCTCTCATCAATCAATCATATAAAGTACATATACTGATAGATATCTTATATTTTTAAAATTGAATTGAGAAAATTATCCACCAATTATCTTCTTTTTTTTCTCAATATATTGCTACAGAAACAGAAGTGCCTTTAAGTGAATGTTATTCATAAAATTATTCTCAAACACATCGAGGAACGTTTGAGCTTTTACGCAATAATGCCAGTTTTCTTTACAATTATACACCTTACACTTGTTGCGATCAGCTGCATTTTACAATTACCATTGTTATGCTCAAACGATCCTATGATAATTAAAGGTGAAACGAGTGCTCTTCTATTAAATGATAAAGAAACAACAAGTATTCTGTACTTATTTGTTCAATCTTTGTAGTAATTCGTAATCTTGATAGAATAAATTATTGTTTGTATTTTTTGTTTCCTCTCCTTGGTTAATTTTCTTCTGGCTCATGTTTTTTTTTATTTAGCTGTAGATGACCAGTTACTATTAGCATTATATTTGAAACTATTATGTACACGGTAAGTGATCATTTTCCGTTGTTTCCATGCTCATTATTATTAGCCACTTTTATAATTTCATGTATTTAAATCTGTGCACGTTTCTCATGTAGAAGAAGAAGATTTACCATTTAATTAGACACTGAATGTTGACTGTGTGTTTAGAGAAATACTCAAACAAATGTTATCACACTATTCTATTAGCATGCAACTGTGAAACAAATTCACTGGAGTGTCAAAAAAACTCAAAATATCCTGAAAAAAAAAATTGAATCTCTGTGAAGGATTTTTTTCAAATTTCAAAATTTCTCAAAAGAAACACACATTAACACTGATGAACGGCAATGCAAAGGTCAATAAAATTCTTCAACGATTCGGAGGATGACGACGAGCCAGCGAATGAAAAAGATAATCAACTTCAAGTTGCTTTAAAAATTTGAAAATTATTGCTCGGAAAAGAAAAAAAGAAAAATATTGCATTTTTTGGTTAATGACGGGAGATATTTGACCGTTTGGGAAATCGTTAGGATCGGGACAGAGCGAGGATGATGAGGCGATGGCAGCAGTAGCTCTTCTTCACAATAAGCCCAGTCCCGGTTCAACGACACTCGAGGATGTACTTGATTCATTGCTCGGACTGCCGCCAGCATCGCGTACACCAAGCCCGGGTCCTGGGCCAATAACAACCGGTAGTGGATCATCGGCAATGCGCCATCACCGTACAGGTGCTAGCAGTAGTCAGTCAAATACTAAAACAGGAAAAAGCTGCAGTGACCTGCGCCAAGACCTCCAAGGTAGGAGGACTATGTAAGTTTCAGCTCTGACGATCCTCACTTTTCTCCATCACCAAAAATTTACCAAAATATAAAAAATCAACAATCGCTTTACTGTATTTGCATTAATCGTAGCTCATTGATCGTCAATCCTCAATCGTATTGACCTGCAAAAAAATGTTCAACAGTATGCATATAATTTCAAACACAATTATTTTCACTCTTTATTTAACCATCATTTTTATTATTTCTATTGATATTTTCAAGTTTTTGTGTGTAAAAAAAAAAAAAAATCACCAAAATTGGAAAAATTATAAAAATGGGACATGGTAATTTTTATGTGATAGAGTGCGTTAAGGGAGCCCCAGAGTCTCCGACCAGTTGTCCAGATCCCCGAGTTTCATCCTACAACGTGGGTGGTTTGGTCCAGCGGCGAAAGAGCGAAGGCAGTGACATTGTCCCACCGCACCGGTTATCCTGCCGCAGTTCATCAAATGTGCGTAATCGTCGAGTATCATTCGACAGCGGTCAGGAAAATCCTCCCCCAGGGGTGTCTGACAAACCCGTTAAATGCCGCAACCACAAGTGCAATAACAGTACATCACTGGCTGAAGCAAAGCGAATATACAAGAGTTGTCACAATTGCACTTATCTTTATTGTTCAAAAGAATGCAGAAGAGCACACTGGCCACGCCACCGAAGGACTTGCCTTCATTACCGAGCTGGGACCCTTTGCAGACAAGTTCTCTCATCAGCCAAAGAGGATCCAGCTACTATAAAGCATATATCTGCCCTGGCAAAACGTGGTTATGCAGCTCACGGTCGAGGTGCTGTCAAATGTTTCTTCACCAGTCCAGAGACAGCTGAACAATTTGTCGGCAATGGCTTTAAAGACCTCGGTGAACCGACTTATGTGCGTTGCTCTGATCTACTCACTAGTGAAATGGGAGCCGAACTCTATGCCGAAATAATGCGTTTATGTAAGACATACAATCCGGAAACAAGACTGGTCTTATTTGTTGCGGTTTGCGTTGTCAGTGAGGTGCCATCCAGTGGTGCGGTCAGATGGGAGCGTCAGCTCGTCTCAAGATGCGGTAAAATTCGTCTGGATCCATCCCAGAGAACCGTTCCTTCGCTCATATCACCATCACAAAATAAACACCAGACACAATCTTCATCTTCCACAGCTCCCACTGCTCCAACTGCTCCATTACAATCTTCTCCATCCAATCATCCTGCAATAACACGTGAAATGGACTCGCCGGAGACACTGGTACTTACTTCATTACCTGAAAATCAGGGCCAAAATACAACAAGACGAACACGGGAAATTGGATTCACTAACATTCAGAGGCAACTGAGACAGCGTGGGGTATCACTAAGACGACACTTTCCTCAGGTTTATACGAAATTATGTTCTTATGTAGACGGGACTGTTGATAAATTTGCACCAGTTACTATTTATCCACGTGATCAGGCGTCTGGTAAAAGTTTTATGTGTATTATTATGCTCGATGCCGAGCCAGAGAGACTGCAGTTATTACCTACTGATTCATCGAGAGTCAGGACTGTTGACATTAGTGTTGAACAGGAGTGATTATAAATCTACGAGACATTATTCTATTTTCCTTTCCTTTCCTTCCTTTTTCACTATAATAATGATAATAATTATCGCGAGCGTACGTAAGTTCAGATGAGTTTTCATTGAGAAATTCAACGAATGTTAGCTCAATCTTCGCAAGTTCAGCCCCTATTAAATTGAATAGTGGTAAAATTCTATGAAAAACGTAGTAATCTCAATTGTTCCAACGCTGAAAATCAAAAGATTGATTCACTCTCTCTCTCTCTCTCCTCTCTCTTTCCATCATACTGTGTGTCAATTTATCTCCATCAGTATAATTTGAAAAACTTGTTTCATTCTTTTGTTGATTCAATTCCCTTTTTTCTTTTTCTATTCAATAATTCCATGTTGGAAGGTGGAAGTAAAGGATCTCAATTGAGAGAAAAATCAAACTGGAAAGTGCTTTTTGAAAAATACGAATACGTATAATATATTTGCATTGTTGTCGTTGGACCATGAAGCTTATACGAAACATACTAAAAAGTGTGCCAAAAGTGTGGAAAGTGATGAATTAAACGTGCATCTTTTTCTCGTTCACTTGCAACGGCAAAGTATCAAAATTCAGCGGAGAATAATGAAGAAAATGAAAGGGGAAAATCTACGGTAAATTATAAATGATGCGATGGCATTCTCTATCCTCTTTCTACCTAGATTTTCTATTCTTCGAGCGTATAGATACTCAATTCATTATTAAAAAAAAAAAAAACTAACAACGGTGCCAACGCATTGACCGCTAGCAATGCATCCACACAATGCGATTCTATTCTTGTATATATATTATATTGCCAATTATTATCGAAAGAGGAGTAAAGATAATTAGGAACAGAAAATTACCCATCAGTCATTAAAAAAAAAACCGAAGAATCTACAGTCGTTCGCCTCTAGTTTAAACATTACAACAACAAAACAGATGACGTTATGCAAATCGAATCATAATGAAATTAATGCGTTTCGTCGAGCAGGGTTCTAATTTTTGTAAATAATTTTATTATTTTGCACATAAGAAGCAATAGAAAAATATTGTTGAATCAGTTTATAGTATAGCTATTTAATCTGTCTATCTCTTTGAAGAAGAAGAAGAAAAAAAAAATAGAAATTTAAACGCAAAATTATCCCCAAGTCACCAAAACAATGTGTGAAAAATAGTTGTTGAGTTGATTTCATAGATGAAACATCTTTAAAAGAAATGTAATCGCATCAAAATGCACTCAGCTGGGGAGTATATACGAGGATGAATGAAAGTTAATGATGATAATTTCCCGTTTATTGTTTAACAAACAAAAATCGGCGTGATTTTTGAATCTCATCTTCCCATTTATCATCTTTGATCATTGATTTTGTTCTTTGTTATTGAAAATCTTTTATTATTGATATTGTAATAATGCGGAAATCGTTAACCCGCAGTTGTTTATTGAGTAATAAAATATAACGAGCGTTACTATTTACGATAATTCATTTTCATTTGAGTGATAAATGGACTAAGCGAGTGAAAAGGTGTTGTAAAGGGAATCGAGAATAAATTATTATATATCAGCGCTATTTGTCCGCTAATACTGTTTTTTGGTATTTGTGTATGTATTACTTTACGAAATAAACTGTTAATTTTATTGAACAAGCTCAACAAGTGACGATTAATTACTAATAAACGTAATTAAAAAAATTGATTGAAAGTCAAAGTCTTTTGTTGCCAAAAAATTTCATTTTTGGATATAGTAACGCAAATATACGATATTAAATTTGAAGGATTTCCATCTTTTTTCATCCTTTTCTGTGTCTTTGTAAATTTTTCACCGTGTCACTCGGAAGCAGTCCCTTTGTCATTGGATAACGGAGCGAACAGTGATTGCAGATCAGTCAGTAAGGTAAACTATCCCCACTCATGAGGCGTGAGTATTCGGTTTAGATGCTGTGAAATTCACGACGAATCATCAGTTAAACTTCAGTCGTGATATAAGCCGAAACGTTCCTTGTCAACAATTGTTCAACTATAAAAACAAAAAAAAATAGATATTATTCGTGTTTAGCCAGCCATACACGTAAATATATATATATATACCTTTATACTCGAAGAAATATTGTACAGAACAACGATGCCGAATTTCGATGCAATTTTATCCAAAGATGAGCCCTACAATCGCCTGATCAAATGTATCGTCTCAAATTCCTACTTCGAGTACTTCGATTCGAGGGATGATCTTCCGATACATGTCATCAATACCTGCCTAAATGCATCAGCCAAAACTATTACCCTCAATGAAGGCAAACGAATCGTCGATTTCTTGTGCCAAGTGGAATTATACAGAGATACCATTCTTAATAACTGTAAACTATTCACATTGAACAACACTCTGGTGTTCGACGCACCGAGGAAACACTTGGAAGCCAAAATTTTTTCATTTCTCGACAGTAAACGTCATTTGATCCTGAGAAGGAACAAAAGAGGCCAATTGCCGAAATCCGTCTCCTTTGTTGTGCTCAAGCAGGCAGCAATCCGTGCAAACAAACTTGAGTTAGAAAATAACTCGACCGATTATTATAACCGATACATTTATTCTATTTACACGGCTATTGGCAAGAAATGGTGGCGATCTCGTGTTTTGTATGAGGAAAATGTTGAACCTGTTGTACCTCATGCTATTCATCAGGTAATTCATCTCCAACTCTGCATTGATAATTTGCAAATTTCAGTCTTAAAAAATTTATTTGTCCATTTTTTTCCTTTGACATTTCAGAATTCTATCTGGCCATCTCCTGTATATGTTAAGGAGCCAGAGCAATCTGAAATATTCAGCAAACTGCCTCTCAAGTAATAATCATTTTTGTCGATAGAAAGATTTCCATGATTTTCCTTTTTATTCATTTTTTCAGAAAACGAATATTGCAAAATTTCAGGAGGCATAATCAAAATTATGATATTCATGAGGTAACCATTCTATTATCTCCAAAAAGAAATTTCACTCATCCTCCTAAATTTCATAACATTATTCTCATGCCTTTCATAGAATGACCCCACGACGATGAGTTCTCGAAACATTGGTATGGAAGATATCCAAACAAACGCCGCAATCGACACCGGCGAGTACCAGATTATTGCACACGATCGTCCCTCTCTAACTATTACAATCACGAAACGTCCAAGTTCAACTTAATGAAAAACCTGGCAATATTAGAATGTCTTTATTGTAGGAAACAATAAAAATCGTCACAAACTTTATAACGGTCTCATTCACTTCAATAACATCTCCTAAACCTTCAATAGCTCTACGTAAACGGCAACCTGGCTAATTCAAAGGACCAAAACAATTTCTTTCCGTTTTCAAGAGCTATATAAACGGCGTCTTCGAGTGGGGTCCTCAAATCATTCCATTCCACCCCACTCATAGCATTTCTATTCCCCCCTTCGACGGGTCAGACTGGCCCAGGCCAATGTGGTGTTTACCTGCCTAGCCGGGGTGTAAACATCGTTCCGCCGGCAGTTGGTTTGTTATGAATTTGTTGGAAACTGTTGTTTCGTCTCATCAAAAACATCGAAATAAATTACCAAAATAATTCAAGTGAAGTGAAGGATTATTTAAAAACTATGTAAACATGAGGCTTATGACAACGAATCAGGACACGTACGGTCGTCTAATACGATGTATCGTATTGAATTCCTTCACAAGTATTTTTGAGAGCAATGAAGAAATCCCCGAAACGATTACACACATCTGCCTGTCGGCAATGTCTTCCAAGGGTACAGACATTAGGGACAGAATTGTTGAATTCAATTATCTTGTCAATGTATACAAGGCGAAAATTCTCAAGGATTGTCAGCGATTCAATGAAGAAGGTGAGAATGGAATGCTCGCCTTGCAAACACCGAGAGAGGACACTCAGGCCAGAGCTTTTGAGTTCTTCGATGAGAATCGAAGTGAATTGTTGAAAATTAATAGCACTGGGAAACTTCCGACGATGATTACAACGTCAGTAATTCAAGAAGCAGCGCGCAATCATCTTGGCATCTACATTGACTATAAGTCAAATAATAAATGTGAGAGATACATGTACTGGGCCTATCGTAACATTGCCATGAAGTGGTGGCAATCCAGAGTTAAGAATAAAGAGAACACTGAAACAAAAACGTCTTGTGATGCAGAGGTAACATGTTCATATCTCAAAAATCAAACTTTTTTTTTTTCAATTAGTGAAGGGAATTGGAAAGACGCGTCATTTTATTGATTGCATTCCAGAAGTCCGAGGATTCGTCAACTCATCGCAACGGTAACTCCGTAAGAGATCAGCAAACTAGGAGGTAAGAAATATTTCACGTATGCGAAAATTCAAGAGAAAAATCTGGCACTTTCCCCAAAAAATTCTATTAAATTCTCAAGAAGATTATGCTACTTTCTGGTTAACTTCTGCGACGAATTCAAGTGCCGAAAAAAAATTAACTCGGAAATTTCATGTCCCGGGTTTCGTGTAATTAGATACTATCATCAAAAACGATTAATTAATCAATTCGTTTCTCTTCAGAAAGAGGAGTTGTACGAATGGAGAAACTGATGAGAACGCAAATTCTTGTGCCAAGGTAAAAATTTTCGATGTGCTTCTCAAAAGCCTCCCTTTGTGGATGAATTAACATTACTGATTTTTGTTTCTTAGAATGAACCTCTTCGAGACGTTCCTCAGAATAATGGAAGACAATCACCAGTATACTGGGTGAGATCAGATAAACATTTTCGTTCCTTGATGCGATTGGAACAAAAGAAGAAGAAACAGAGGCTTCTTCAGTCCATTTAAACATATTTTACTCTTCAACTTGAAAAAAAAAACCATGGCTGATTCACTGCAGCAAACAATTTTTTTTGCACCCAAAACTCTAAAACAACTGCATTGTACTTCTTTCTACATTTATTAAAGACGAAGACTATTCTCTGAAACATTGCACGGTGTGATAATTTTTCACTGATATTTGCCGTATTTGAAATGTGAAATATCAACTCCTAAATTACCATTCTCCAGTAAAAACAACTTTTTGAAATCCAATCATTTGGGATAGTTTAATGAAATATTATAGTTTGGGAATTAATATTTATTTTTTAATTAATTTTTTCCCAATTCAAAATTTTTTCAGTAGAGAGCAAGACAACTGCAATGGCCAGGTGTGTGTTCTGTTGAGTCGTTCGAGTACATATCATTTTCGCGGGAAAACAAGACGTGTGTTGCCTGTGTGATGCTTTTGTGAAAGCATGTTTATACACCATTCGTCGATAAAAAAAATACTCCGTTTCTTACCTGGCGATTATATCGCCTTCTAGCTGACCGATATGCTTTACCATAGAATTATAAATAAATATTTTCAATGAATGGATGTCTATGAGGATTATTACAGCACATATCCTCCACATTAACGATGAACTGTAAAAAAAAGTGATGAATAACGAACGACGAAGAAAAAAAAGATGCAAAAAACGAGAAGTGTATCCCAAATTGTTCCCAAACGATTGGAATTGGTTTCATCCGGAAATTTATTATTTACCTGCTAGCCACATGTCCGTGCACTCCAAAATGTTTTATAGTTAAAATAAATTACAACTATGTTTATCAAGTTCAGTCATACGTGACCCTGAAATTTTATTTGCAATAATAGCTTTGTATATTTCGACCGTTCACCTAGCAGCTGCACTGCGCTGCAGCATGCAGTGCGACAGATTCCAACTCGATGGCCCAGTCATGGAGTCTAAAAAACAGTAGAAAAAAGTTGGAATTCACCAGAGAACCGTCCAAATACGTGAAAATAAAGCCCAAATGATGGAGGAAGAGATAGACATTTACGGAGATTTGGACCACTTGGATGAAGACAAATTGGAAATTGTAAGGAACCAAAATTTGAGGTTATACCAGTTTTCGCGGGAACTAGGAATTGGACAAGTAGTGAATTATTTTTCATTGTTTCCAGACACCTCAAGTGACCAGAGAGTTGCAACAGGAGAATGCCGAGTTGCAGAAAAAAATTGAAGAGCTCAGTAGTGAATTAGAGAGGATAACTAAATACTCCAAATCTCTGGAGGCTAACATATCGTCTCTGCATAAAACGGCAAAGGTGGAAATTGCAAGAAAAGATCGAATGATCACGGATCTTCGTCAGCAGTGAGTTGAATTTAATGATGTTAAATAAAATAAACCGTTTCAATCTTGAAAGAATTATCTCAAATTTTTTTCTATTCGCAGCCGCGAAAATAAAAAAATTTAATTTCATTCTGTTATCATCAACTATTATATCCATAAAATGTAAATACTTGGCTGAAAATGCTCGGGCGATGGCCCGTTGCAGAAATTTGCAAATTAATTTTGTTAAAAATAACTAAATAAGAGAGACCATTTTGTGTGAAATGGTACGATTTGAATGAATCAACTCCCATTCTGAATTTCCAATTACAACTAGTCACTCTTTTTTTTTTAGGCTTGACAATGCAGCTTTTCGACGCAACACCAATTTCCGCATTCCAAAAAGGATCCCGAGACCTTCAGTAATCTCCTTACCCCCAAAAGATGAATCCACTTGCACCGAAATTAAGAAAGAAGAAGTTAACAATACAATCAACAAAGAAGAAACTGAGTACCAGAGCCCACTCATCACAAACGATGAGGATTTCGATGATGCCGAGAATCTTTATCAACCGGAGAATCTTCCATTGACAGTTTTCGGAGAGAGACTGAAGAGAAAAATCGAGCAGGAATCTCGAGAGGAAGCAGAAGCTTCTGAGAACGTCCGAGAAGAGCAGGCACAACAATCCGAAGACATTGGGACTGATAAAGCTCCAGAAGTCCTCGAAAATATTGACACAGTTCAAAATAAAGAGGACAAGGAGAACAAGTATCGACTTATTCCGTTAACCCTCCAGAGACTGGCTGAAAATTCACGAAAGAGAGGTTCAGATAGTGTTGAAAAATCAGAGGAACAGGATTATTCCAGGCCGAGGGATAGTCATGAGAATAAGAGGAGAAAATTCGACAATAGTGAGAGTCGAAGAGATCAATCTCCAGACGTAGATAGATATAAAAATTCGACAGCGACAGCAACAGCGAAATCTGTATATAGGAAGAGGATGAAGATCAAGGCGGAGTACTATTGCCCTGGCAAACCAAATACGCACGACAATTCTCGCCACCAGAAAACACCAGGAAGCAGTTGTTCTAGGAGTAGATCAAAGAGCAGAGAGAGGAGAGACAGGAGAGACCCTCACTCTTCATTAGATAGGAGAAAAGATACTAGGGGGCGAAGTAAAACTCCACCGCGTGGACACGATAGTGAGAAAGGTAAATACCGCTCTAGTAGAAAAGCAAGTGATGATAGATATGGGGAGAGAAGAGGAGAGAAATCACGAAATTCAAAACGACCGGTCCGAAAAGACGTGACTCCGCCTGTGAAAAGAATGGACTTGCGACGCAGGTTGGATAGAAGAAATGATGGCAGAGTAGATTGCAAAATTCAAGATGAGATGAGAAAAAGGACTCACAGTGGTGCTGATGCTAGGAGAAATAATAGACTGAGAAGATCGCGAGAGGTGTCGAAAAACAATCATGTCAGTAAAAGTGAAATTAATGATTCGAAACATCCAAGTCGATTGAGGCTCAATGTGAATGGTCAAAGAGATGTGGACAGGACTAAAAGTGAAAGATCAAAGTCTCCGTCCACTGAACGAAGAAGACGAAATTCGTCTGATGAAAAAATAAAAACTGAACCACCCAAAGAATCGGAGGAAATCGTTGCAAAGGACAAGATGCCGATCGATAGGGATGATATAGAAGAGGGGGAGATACCCGACAGTCCGTGTCGCGAGTCTCCAGACCCAGCACGTGCATCCACAACCAATAAAATTAAACTGTCACCTTCGAAAGATGATCAGTTGCATCCCGAGGTGAATGGAGTAGAACCTCACAACTTGGATGACTCTCTGAGAGAGGAGAAGATTGAGAATATTGAATTGTTTATTGAGAAGCTGCAAAGTAACGATCGAGAATTTTTCCAAGAGCAGACCCGAATAAAGAATGAGAAATTACAATCATTATCAAGTAATCAATTGGGAATTGTCAGTGATAGTAAACAAATAACTAGTCAAGATCGGAAAGCGAACGTTGAAATAATTTCAGCGATCTCAAAGAAAGACACTTCGGATGAGTCAGTGCATCTCACCAGTATCCTCGGGGATTCTTCCGATGAGGAGGTTTGCGAGTCAGCTTTGAACGCAGAGACAGCTGCTATTTCTGATAATGAAGTGGAAAGAAAAATGCCAGATACTGCTCACAATGTTTCCCATTCACTCGACGACTTGATACCGAATGGTATAACAAAGAAATCCGAAATTGTTGGGGTGCCCACAGATGCCAGTGCAGATCAAATACCAGAGGCTATATTTGATGATGTAAAAACTTCACCAAAAGACGATGCGCCACAATCGACTATTTTCGGATCCACATCCCCTGCAACGGAAAATGATAGCATCGAGAAAATATCGAAATCATGCCCCAAGTTGTTAGAGGCACTTCAAACCCCGCGGGCGATTCTCCAAGAAATCGACTCGCTGCCGAAAACCAAACCGTTGAAACCAAACGAGCCTCATTTGCAGAAATCTGTACCAAAGGAGAAAGAGAACAGTGGCGCAAAAACAGATAGAATAATAGTTGTAGCTAGAAGGAGAAAAGTTAGATTAACCGACATTTCTACTTCCATGACGGTCGTAGTGAGCGAGAAGAATACCGACGAAAATCAGTAGCGCATTGAATTGAAATGAGGAGCTTTCGATATTTGGATGGTTTTTCTACGAAAAAAAAAAAAAAAAAAAAA